CTGGTTCACACACCCCCTACTGGTTCACACACCCCCACACTGATTCACACACACCCGTACTGGTTCACACCCCCCCCCAGTGATTCACACCCCCCCACACTGGTTCTTACACACTCCTACTTGTTCACACACCCCCCTACTGGTTCACAGCCCCCCTACTGGTTTACACCCCCCCAATGGTTCACACCCCGCCCACTGGTTCACACACTCCCTACTGGTTCACATCCCCCAACTGGTTCACACCCCCTGCACTGGTTCACACACATCCCCACTCGTTCACACCCCCACCACTGGTTCACACACTCCCTACTGGTTCACATACACCCCCACTGGTTCACACACTCCCTACTCGTTCACACACACTCCCACTGGTTCACATACTCCCTACTGGTTCACACACTCCCCCACTGGTTCACACACTCCCCCAATGGTTCACACACCCCCCCACTGGTTCACACACTCCCTACTCGTTCACACACACTCCCACTGGTTCACATACTCCCTACTGGTTCACATACTCCCTACTGGTTCACATACTCCCCCACTGGTTCACACACTCCCCCAATGGTTCACACACACACCCCTGGTTCACACCCCTCCACTGGTTCACACACCCCCACTGGTTCATACCCCCCTACTGGTTCACACTCCTCCACTGGTTCACACCCCCCCCACTAGTTCACACCCCTCCACTGGTTCACAGCCCCCCACTGGTTCACACACACTCCACTGGTTCACACACACCCCACTGGTTCACACCCCCCCACTGGTTCACACATATCCCACTGGTTCACATACCCCACTGGTTCACACACACCCCTGGTTCACACCCCTCCACTGGTTCACACACCCCCACTGGTTCATACCCCCCTACTGGTTCACACCCCCCCACTGGTTCACACACACCCCACTGGTTCACACACACTGCACTGGTTCACACACACCCTACTGGTTCACAGACACCCTACTGGTTCACACACACCCTACTGGTTCACACCCCCCCACTGGTTCACACACACCCCACTGGTTCACACCCCTCCACACTGGTTCACACCCCTCCCCACTGGTTCACACCCCTCCACACTGGTTCACACCCCCCACTGGTTCATACCCCTCCACACTAGTTCACACCTCCCCACTGGTTCACACCCCCGCAGCATCCTGGGCTTCTTTCTTCAAGCTCCACTCCTGCTCTTTGCTCATTTCCTGCGCACAGCCCTCTCCTAACTCATTTTGTGTTCCTCTTTGGTATGTCTCAGTATGAGCCTCAACAACACAATACTCCCACCGGCTAGTTTTTATTTTGATGAGATTTTAAGAGGGAGTTCAGCGCACAGGACGAGCCTTAATCCTCCCGATGGTGGAAGAGGCATCAGGTGGGGCGGGGGAGACTCTAAGGTCTGAGATGAAGCCTCTGAGATAGAATCTTGGATCCAGAATCAAGACACACAATTTCTGGGGGATAGCAATAGTAAAATAGGAATCACGGGCACTGTGACTCTGGACAACATTAAAGAAACACAAAAGGGACAAGAAATCTTCCTTCACTTGAGTTTCCTCATTACACATTGGTAAACAAAGGTGTTGGACTAGAATATAGCTACATCCCCATGATTCTACATGTTCACTTTTTAAGGGGTTCTAAAAATTTCATGGATAATGCCAGGGCTGCTGCTGCTGTTGTTGTGTCAGTGTTTTACCAGGGAAAATTTCAACTTGTACGAGTGGAGAGACTGAACCCCCACGGGCCCATCACTTAGCTTCCACACCTGTCAACACAGGGCCAGTTTCTTTTCATCTGTATCTCGCCCGTTTTACCCTGCCTTTACTGTTTTTGAACAAATCTCTGATGTCATATCATTTTATTTCAACATTCTTTCTAAAAGACGGAGACTTTTTAAAAACAGCCACAATACTATTACCTCAATTAAAACAGAAAAGATTCTCTATTCCTTAAATACTCAGTTGACCACTGCAGCTTCTCTAGCTGTACTTAAACATTTG